GAAAATTAAGGTCAGTAAAATACCCAACTTATATTTCATAATGACCTCCATAACATAAGGGTATGTTTTACATTCTTTTCGCATTTTATAATAAACAATATTAAAAAAGGAAACCTTTACGCCTGCACCGCTATTTTTTATCATAACAATTAATTACATTAAAAAAGGGAACATTTTTAATAAAAATCGCGCGAAGAAGCATTGCTTCTATCGTTATCACCTGTAATTGATACGCGTTGATGGCTGTATTGCTCGAACAGAAAGGTACTACGAGATGTTCGAAAATTAAGGGCAGTAAAATACCCAAATTATATTTCATAACGACCTCCACAACATAGTGTATGTGTTTAGGAACTCGCTAAACACTCAGAAAAACGCAATTCGCTTGAGTTCAATATTTATTGGGCGACCACAAGGTGCGCATAACAACTTGTAAAAAATATAAATCACATCTCCCAAACCTGATTTTAGCGTATCAGTATATAAAGAGAATTGACAATAACATAGTTAGATGTTTGTGTAAGTTAATTCTCGACGAGTTTAAAGGATTAAAAAAAAAATTTTTTTTCCCGGCTTGTGCCGATCTTTTCACCTTTATTTCCCAAAATTAACTAACTGCCATCATTGTCTTACACCTATTTAAAACTAATAAGTCACGTTGCATTGCAAGTGACATAGCGTAGCAATTGTCAGCGTCGCAGCGCCAACGACGTTCCCATATTGCGGTGACGCATCGTCAGCGTTTATTCCGGATGCGCGTGTGGTGTCTTTTGCCCGTGGGACACTGGTAGCTGCAGGTTTCGCATGCTTGCGTTGCAACTGCAGGTGCTATGTTGACCTTGATGGGAGGTGTTGGATGTCCAGACACTTGCCAATGAATTGGGCGTGTTGTAACTGGAGTTTGGAATGCAGGCAACTTGTGTAAATGTGAGTAATGCAGGTAGCCTATGTAAGCGTGGGAATATTCGTGTGTGGAGTTTAAATGTTAACGGCGTTAACTCCTCCCCTCTTAAAAACGCTTGTCCTCGAGCGTTTGAAAAACTTGGAAAGTCCTTATTTCGGGCGTTGGGACTTGGCTGGTTGCTTCTTGTTGCTGATTGGCCTGTGTAATGGCCTCTGCTGGTTGTTTCGTAGGTTTACTTTGCTTTTTCCTTTTGTAGCGCAAATTTTTGAAGCTGACTACCAGGACAATAATTATAATGAGCGTAAGTCCTGCAGAAATTCGGTTTACTGCTTTCTCCGTTTGCAATGACTGGATTTCCATGGTGTTGTTTATGTGTAGTTCGCTGAGTGCTTCTAGTGATAGTAGTTTAGTTAAGCTCTCTTCTATTGGG